AAGCTTAATTTAATTTTGCCCAGTTGTGGCCTGTTGAGGGGCAATAAATATCAAAAGTTCCAAAACATCTATTGTGTTATTTGCATTGATCCACTATATAAACATAATATCTACATACATGGCATTTGATTGGAGGCTAGTCTCACTTTGTCCCACAACAACATTTTTTTTTTAGATGTGTGTACAATGTTTCATGTTTCTGTTAATAATGTAGGCCTATTGCATTAAGTGTCCATTTCATTATAATATTCAGATTTATCATAAATAATTGAACATGCACATGTATTGTAAGTTCCGTTAAAGAGGGGTAGAGGTGGGGTCACATTTGAGCATTTAAAATTAAATTTTACTTGAAAGTAACGCAATAGTTACTTTCTTAAGTAACTAGTTACTTTTAAAATTTGTAACGGAGTAACTAACTTAGTTACTTTTTGGAAGAAGTAACTAGTAACTGTAACTAATTACTTTTTAAAAGTAACTTGCCCAACACTGTATATAAATGTTATTTTTAATGTGATGACCAACACATTTTTTGTTCATCCTTCAAAGATTGTCCTAAAACTAAAAAATTTAAGATGTAGGAAAACTGTTATTTAAACACTTATTTAAAAATAAAAATTACCAGTGTAAACAGTAGGATGATTATTGGCTATTTTCACTCCCTAATATCAATGTTTTCACTCGTTTTGCTTTTTAATTAATATTAAGACATTATGAATGATAATAATTTAAGTTAATTTCATCTACAGTCTAAATTAAGCTTAGTGGTGTATTGTCATGCCCTCAAATGTTAGTCTGGAGCCCTGTGAACTTAAAATAAAACTGCACATTGTAATATCTGTACGTTAAGTCTATTTATTATTAAAGAACTTGTCAGTATAGTAGTTATTTTGGGAGAAATTTAAATAATTGAATAATATAAATAATGCAAGCTGATTTAAGGTGGGCCCCTAAGTTTTCTGCTTGCGCTCCTAAAATTTTCAGTCAGGGGCTACAGCGCTCCTAGTAAAAAAAGTTAGTCTGGAGCCCTGGAAAATATCTTCATTTGTGTTTTGAAGTTGAATGAAAGACTTGTGGGTTTAGAATGACATGAGAGGGAGTCAGCGATGAACTGAATAAAACTGTCAAATAAAAGGCAACATTTAAGTCTTATAAAAAGCGACAAGCCACACACAAACCTGATCGATTTAGCTAAAATATTTCATGCAGAAACAAATAAAAAAAGCAACAAAAAGCCTCCCAAAAAACTACTTGGCGGAAAGTGCTCAAAACCCAAAAATAAACATGGATGGTCTTTATTACTATAGGCCTATATATATACACTCACCGGCCACTTTATTAGGTACCCCATGCTAGTAACGGGTTGGACCCCCTTTTGCCTTCAGAACTGCCTCAATTCTTCGTGGCATAGATTCAACAAGGTGCTGGAAGCATTCCTCAGGGAGTTTGGTCCATATTGACATGATGGCATCACACAGTTGCCGCAGATTTGTCGGCTGCACATCCATGATGCGAATCTCCCGTTCCACCACATCCCAAAGATGCTCTATTGGGTTGAGATCTGGTGACTGTGGAGGCCATTTTAGTACAGTGAACTCATTGTCATGTTCAAGAAACCAATTTGAAATGATTAGAGCTTTGTGACATGGTGGAAGTAGCCATCAGAGGATGGGTACATGGTGGCCATAAAGGGATGGACATGGTCAGAAACAATGCTCAGGTAGGCCGTGGCATTTAAACGATGCCCAATTGGCACTAAGGGGCCTAAAGTGTGCCAGGAAAACATCCCCCACACCATTACACCACCACACCAGCCTGCACAGTGGTAACAAGGCATGATGGATCCATGTTCTCATTCTGTTTACGCCAAATTCTGACTCTAACATCTGAATGTCTCAACAGAAATCGAGACTCATCAGACCAGGCAACATTTTTCCAGTCTTCAACTGTTCAATTTTGGTGAGCTCTTGCAAATTGTAGCCTCTTTTTCCTATTTGTAGTGGAGATGAGTGGTACCCGGTGGAGTCTTCTGCTGTTGTAGCCCATCCGCCTCAAGGTTGTGCGTGTTGTGGCTTCACAAATGCTTTGCTGCATACCTCGGTTGTAACGAGTGGTTATTTCAGTCACTGTTGCCCTTCTATCAGCTCGAACCAGTCTGGCCATTCTCCTCTGACCTCTGGCATCAACAAGGCATTTCCGCCCACAGAACTGCCGCTCACTGGATGTTTTTTCTTTTTCGGACCATTCTCTGTAAACCCTAGAGATGGTTGTGCGTGAAAATCCCAGTAGATTAGCAGTTTCTGAAATACTCAGACCAGCCCTTCTGGCACCAACAATCATGCCACGTTCAAAGTCACTCAAATCACCTTTCTTCCCCATACTGATGCTCGGTTTGAACTGCAGGAGATTGTCTTGACCATGTCTACATGCCTAAATGCACTGAGTTGCCGCCATGTGATTGGCTGCTTAGAAATTAAGTGTTAACGAGCAGTTGGACAGGTGTACCTAATAAAGTGGCCGGTGAGTGTATATATATATATATATATATATATATATATATATATATATATATATATATATATATATATATATATATATATATATATATATATATATATATATATATATATATGAAGAGTTTGGTTCCAAAACGCCATTTAAAAAAAAAAAATTAGTTACTGCAAAAATCAGTATTGTATCTGGTTGGTATTGAAAAGTCAATGTTTAATTTTAAGTAAAATGCGATATCCGCCGTGTTATTCTGTCGTTTTCTCCCTTTCTTTCCAAACCGCGACAAACGCCAGTCTCCCTTCTCTGCAGAATGCGATATACCCGCTCTCAACCAATCACAACGCACCATTCCACGCAATGTAAACACAACAGTAACGGCAGCGCCATAAATACACCAGGCTTCCTAGTTTTTCTTATCTATTTTGTACTTTTCGATCAACAAACAAACAAAAAAATGAATAATTTTTTTGACGGCATTGATGAACCTGTGGTTGTTTCTGCGGTGGGTAAGAAACGTAAGGCATCGAAATCGAATCATTTACGTGAGGAGATTAAGAAGATGAGGCACTCGGGAGGAGGAAAAATGTTTTCAATCTTCTTTACAGTTCTTAATAAAAATATTATACTTATAAACTTATGTTGTTGTGTATTTTCAACAGTTTCAATATGAATTTTTTTTTTTTATATTGATTCAATGGATTAATTGCATTGAGGAAAAAAATAATCCGTTTTTATAATAAATCTTTGAAAATCAAAACCTGGATTTTTTTTTTGTTTTCATCTTTCCACTTTCTTGGTAAAGAAAACACATTTTTACTCAAATTAATCTAAATGGATTTATTTGCGTTTTGGAACCAAACTCTTCATATATATATACACACAAAAAAAGACCATAAAATAAAAATGCAATAAAAAAAAGCAAATGGCAACAAAATCGAAGCACCACAATGAACGTCAATTTGCCTTCTGAGATTCAGAAGCACAACTGTATTCCCAAGCTTCCCTCACTGATCTCTGGATGGAACACACACTCAGACACGACACAGGGATAATGTGAGCTGGTCGGACCAGTTGGACATGCTTTCCGCCGTTTCAAAGGCAGGATGTGCTTCCCTACTGGAGCCCCAGAATGCAGCACACATGCTCACTGACACTCATCTAGCGATCTATAATGTGTCATATTAATACATATTTTTAATTTGTTACTACTGTACTATGCTGACTGCTCGTTTGCCAACACTTGCCTTCATGAGATAAAAAACTAACTAAATAGTATGCGGAACACTGCGTTCTTTCCCACGCTGACATATTTTCTACTAAAACTGACATATTGTTCTCTTTAAATATAGCCAATCATCTGCTACTCGTCATCGCTAGTCAGAGTAAAGGCAAGACACTACAGGAAAAACCATTGTTTTTCTTCTTCTTGAGATTGCAGGCTATTTTGTTTCCGTAACAGCTTTCAGACTAGACATTTACACATTTATTTTATTACACTTTATCTTTGTGCTTAAATTTCAAATGCAGTACTCGACTTCAGTAGCACTTACAGTAAAAGAGAAAAGAAATTCTAGAGGTTTTTACAGAGGGGTTTGTTCTTATCATATGACTGATTTATAGAACATTTTATTTCTTTAAACATGGTGAAAATGCATCATCTGATTTATGGAATGACAAAATCAGCTCTGTAAAAACCTCTGTCGTCAACAAAAAAACTATTTGAACCTGGCTTTATCCAATGTTCAGATTTCTGTTCTGGAAATCTATGTAAATTAGTGCATATTAATTAGATCATGGCTAATTTGCATATTTAAGCATAATATTTCAGAAAACTTGTACAGAATCAACTGGGGAAGTATGGTTATTAATTTTTTTTTACCATGTTTTCCTGTGGTATCTTGCATTAAGTAGTATATGGGGGGAGCATTTGATTGGACGACAATTTGGACACGCCTTTGAGTGCTACTTGAGTCATCAGTATTTTTACACGTTTTCCTCCAATTATGGGTTCACTTAATTTCTACTTAAATCAATATTTCAAGTCCATGCATTTGCGCATATAGAAATATATATACACATCTACTTGTCGGTGTGTTTTTTGGTAATGTGTCCAGGAAACTGTGCATTACTACTGACATGACATCTATTAGCAGGTGATTTAGCCCAAAGCGACTTACAAATGAGGAACATCACAAGCAATCTGTCATTCAAGACCAAACAGTATTATTTACAGTACTGCAATGCAAAGTTAGACGCACAAGATCATCTGTCTATCCCCTTCACTCCATATACTATTTGAAAAAGGTTGAGAACACCTTTTTTGGACAGTGATGTCAATCTTTGGGATGAACGTGTACATTTTCATGGATTTACAACACTCCATCTCTTCCCATCATATCTCGCCATGCATGATTTCCATATACAACACACCTCATCGCTCATGCATACTCACCCAAGGGTGTTTAAGACCAATGCAAGCCATTATTTACCTTCTGCAACATCTTCATCTATGGATCCTTTGACCTGGGAGAAGCACCACTGGAAATCATTGCCTCCACCAACCCCTGCAACAACAACACAACTGCATTTAAATGCATGCACAGATCAACCTCCCAGAAGCATTTAATCACGCTGAACTCAAACCCTTGCCCCGCACGAGCATGCATACTGAGATAAAACAGTGGATGTGGGTTTGATGTAGTCTCAGTAAAGGGGGCTGGTTTGATGTTTAGGCCGCACTGCTGCCGCTCGCGCCCCCGCCTACCAACACACACAACCCTCAGCGCGGCGCGTTTACCTGCCATCATCTCCGGTGCCTATGCCTGTGCCTCGATCCTTCAGCGCGGCTTATCCTCGAGCTCAGCCGGGCGGACGGTATGAACGAGCGCGGAATGAGAGCGGGTTCAGCGAGAGCGGGATCTGCCCGTGATTTGCTTTCGCTTCAAGATGGCGCACACTCCCGTCGACATGACACAGTGACGTCATTTAATCAAGCGCGCCGTGCGCCCGGCACGTCCTCGCTGCGCTGAGGTTTGCGCAGACACTGAAAGAGTTACGCACATATGCCAAACGCCCTTGCTTGTTTGTTTATTAGGTGGATGTGAATGAATGTGTTATACATAATCGCAGACTTTCAGTCTCAGTAGTGACCAATAGAATATTGTATTGCTTGTCATTTCAAGCTGCGGTTATTTGTCAAGTTATGCGCAAAGTGTGAAATAGGATTTAATAAGTGTGTTAGGATGTCATAAAAAGCTAACTCTGAACAAAGAAATTAGACATTTTATAAAGAGGTGTTTACATTGCACCACAACAGTAAACAATAGGCATGTGGTAGAAAATACATTTGTTCATGAAGGTTAAAAAAGGAAGACAAGGGAAGTGCACGTTGAACATCAGAAAAACAAACAAACAAAAAAGTATGAAAAACGCATATTTGGCACGCATATTTCTGAAGAGTGTGAGATCTACAAAAATGGCGTGTATGTGTGTGTGTGTGTGTGTTTAATCATTTTTACTGTAATTTTACCTTTCTGGTCATTTTGAAATCTCACTTGCACCAGTTATTGCTATATTCTGTATTGTTGCATAGGCTACTTAACAGGAAAACAAATATTGCACACAAAAATGTAGGCCTACTTCAAATTGTCAAACCAATCTGTGTGGTATTTTATTGTTTTTGAGCGATTATTCCAAGGTCTTTCTCTGCAAACTGTTTTAATGTATTAAATGTTTGAAATCCATTTTAATTTCTAAAAAAATCCTCAATAAATAGGCCTACACCTCTTTTTTTAATCTTAGGATTTTGTGTTATTCTCTGATGAAGGTGTTGACAATATAGTTCATTGCAGTGTTGTGGCTATTTCGTAAGTTTGCCACATGGAGGAGCCACTATATCTGTGTGAGTGTTTGAAAACTGGATTTAGGATGTCAAATTGTTAGAGCAGTCTGTCCATCGTTCTGCATGTTAACACATTTGTGACTTTACTTTTGTCATCATGCGATTAATACGTTATAATAGTCAACAAATAACTGTAGAGCCAATTTGGCATTCATATAGGCCTATATATTATGTAGTTTCTTTGAGGAAATCACATTGGGTGCTTCATAGAAGAACATAAATAAAGCATACAGAATAATATCAAAATGAATAATTCATCTGTTTGCAGGACCCATGTGGATCTGGCAGATGTCTTTAAATCAATGTTTTACAGAGAGCAGCGCAGAACAAAATTAGAGTGTATATCAACAGAGACATCCTGCAAACGGGAGTCATTACATGAGCCACACTGCTAATGGGAAAGAGAAGAAGTGAGCAGTGATCCGAAGATGCTTCTCCACCACCCAATAAATGCATATTAATTCATTGATGATTTATTAATTAGCTGGCCAGCAGAAATCTGCTCTGGTATTCCTGTGAGTAATTCAGAAGATTAGGTTTTGTTTATATTTACATGAACTTTCAACAAAGCTGAGGGATTATCATGAATATTCATTTGTAAAAATGGTTTTGCTGAATTATTCTTCCATCCATTTCAGAAACACTGTGAATATGAATTCCAATATTTCTCTGAATGCAACCACACACTTGCACATGCATTATTTTGGCCTTTATTGGTCACATTATGAACATGCTGCTGATTTGTTTCAGGTCTGAGCAGATCCTTTGATGTTGATTGCCACCAAAACTAATCATAAATTTCAATTAATAACTCAGGTGATTGTGCATAGTCATATAGAGGGGTTGATTGCACCATCATTTAGAAGGCCAAGATTTCTTACTATATAACACATAATGCGTTAATGACCAGCAGATGGCAGTCTTTAAATATAAATGACCTCTTTTTCTTTTTAATGGACTCTGACTACAGCCAACAGAATTGAAATGCAGCAGCACTGTTCATCAGGTCCAGTACTGTGTAAATGGTAATGATATGTCTCTGCTGTATAGGCATCAACAGTCATTTAAGTTGCTTTTCAGCCGCTTGAGTCAGAGTTGGATCGGTGTCGAACACATGCTGTGCTGCTTGTCTGCAGATAAGAAGAGGCAGAGCATTGGTTGTGGTTATTTATCATAGCTTATTGTTCAAATCATCTATGCTGCATACAGTGCATATGAGTAGAAATCTGCATGATCAAAATGACACAAAACTGACATTTATTTCTGAAGATTGAAAAGGTAACACTTTACAATAAGGTCTCATTTGTTAGTTAACTAACATGAACTAACAATGAGAACTAATTTTTTTACTGTATTTACTGTAACTGTATTTATAATCGTTGTTATTGTTAGTTGTTTGTTCATGTTAGTTCAGTACATTAACTAATGTTAACAAATACAACTTTTGATTTGAATAATGTATTAAATGTTGAAATTAAAGGTGCTCTATGTAACTTTTCTACCAAAATGAATCCTTTTTTTATTGCCTGTGTGTGAAGGGGTTGTAATCACACATTAAAATGATCCACTTGTCGAGTTTTGCTATTACCTCTGAAGGCCAGTATTCCTATTTCTATGTGAAGTCTCCGGGTCGGATTTACCGCGAAATCCAACGGATGTGACGTGCATGCGCGCTCCCGAGCCTCTCTCCTTATATACAGTCTATTGTAGACGGTCAGGGAGTTACGTCCGGTTAAAGGCGCACGTTTTTCGGCTTATATCTCAGTCAATCTTTGATCAATATTCCCAAGACTCTAATCGTTCGTAGTGCTGGACGGGGCCTTTCGAACGAGCCCACCCCCGAGGTCCAACTCGCCCGGCTCCCAGAGTTATAGCCGTTCGAAATCGGGGGTCCCAGCGAACGGCAATCCGGCAGGGGGCATCCCCGAGGCCCGCCACTTTAGCGTTCGGGCAAGGGTTCCCCTGGGACCTCCTCCCCCGAATTTGAGCTCTCTGGGTCTTTGCGTTCCAGAGATACGAGCGATTTTCTTCTGAGATCGTGACGTCACCGGCGTCCGCAATTTTGCAGCGCGCCCGATGGTTTTCTGCTAATATCTCCGCGAAAACACCACCAAAAACTATGGAACTTATATGGTTCTTTTCAGCTCGACTAGATGGTCCCAACGAGCTCGGTGCTCGCCGAATCCGTCAAGTATTCGCCGAGATATTTGCGTAATAGACGGTATTGTCTATGAGTTCGAGCACGAGCGCTCTTGTAAAATTTGGTTGCAATCTGAAACATCACCACTAGAGGCCGCTAAAAGTTACGTAGAGCACCTTTACCATTAATTAAGATTAATAAATGCTATCGAAGTATTGTTTATTAATAGTTCATGTTGACTAATATATTTCACTAATGTTAACTAATGAAACCTTATTGTAAAGTGTTACCATAAAAAAAAGGTATAGTAGTTTGGGTTCCGAAAGATTCTTTTTTTCTTCTTCCTTGTTTTAAGGAATTTTTTATTTATTTATTTTTTTAGCAAGGATGCATTAAATTGATCAAAAGAGACAATTAAGACTTTTAATTTGTTTAAATTTACATTGTTTTACATTTTAAAATAAATGCTGTTCTTTGAACTAATTCATTTGAGCACAGCATTTTCAACATTGATAATAATAATAAATGCTTCTTGATAAACAAATCAGCATATTAGAATGATTTTTGAATGATCATGTGACACTGAAGACTGGAGTAATGATGCTGAAAATTCAGCTTTGCATCACAGGAATAAATTACTTTTCAAAATTATTTACATATTGAAATAGAAAAAATAAATTGTAAAATTTGTAAAAATTTAAAAAAGAGAGAGAAAAATTTAATATAATTTCACAATATATGACTGTTTTTTATTTTTGATCAAATAAATGCAGCCTTGGTGAGAACAAGAGACTGCTTTCAAAAGCTTTAAAAAAATCGCACCAAACCCAAACATTTACTGTAAATTAGTAATATTCACATTAATCATTTCATTTCACATATTGTTTGGGCTATGCAGTTCATATAGGCCTAATATTAATTATTTTCACTTGATTTTAAGCACATGTTTCATCAATATCAGAACTATGTTGGACAGTATAGGCCCTATAGGAACAGAAAATGGGAAATGTAATCATCAGATGAGAGATGAAGGGAGAGTTTCTATGTCCTTTAATAAAACACACACTGTGAAAATAAAAGCCTTTGCCAGCGATGTGGGGAGCAGCACAAGCTTTTAAGTGTAATAAACCAAATTAAATTAGCTTGGAAATCACACAGAATATACCGGCTACTTAGGAAGAGGAAGAAAAACAGGCCTTCATCTCACTCACCTTAAATATTAAGCCTTTATTAGTTCACCACACACTAAATGTAAATGATAGGCCTACCACTCACTGCATGAGAGCAATTTCTCATCATTCTGAACACACATTAGCTGGGACGAGCATGTTTCTTTCAAGTCTAGTTACTGCTGTCATCGGATCAGTGTCCTTTGAAAATGATTTCTGTTATTTATTTTATTCATAAGTTCAGATGCTCAATCACAAGCTTTTATTCTGTAAGTAGCACAAAAAAGAAGATGAAAAGGATGAATTGAATCATTGGCAAACCACAAGGCTTTGCTGACTTGTTTCTTTATTACTTACTGAAATAACATTACATAACTAACCAGACAGTTGACGTTATTGACTTCCATAGTGTTTTATTCCTAAGTCAATAGCCATCAATTTGTCTGGTTACTACGGAAACGCATTGCATTCACTTGAGGAAAAAAATCTACTCTGTTTTTCTGAATTAACGAGTTAATTATATCAGAATTACGAGATAATATTTAATGGGAAAAAGTTTTTGCTCTGTTTTCCTGAATTAACGAGTTAATATCTCAGAATTACGAGATAATATTTAATGGAAAAAAGTTTTTGCTCTGTTTTTCTGAATTAACGAGTTAATATCTCAGAATTACGAGATAATTTTTCATGGAAAAAAAGTTTGTGCTCTGTTTTTCTGAATTAACGAGTTAATATCTCAGAATTACGAGATAATATTTAATGGAAAAAAGT